TTTTAAATATTTTAAATGTTAATTATTGTAATATTTTAATATTTAATAAGAATTTATTGTGATTAGACGGACAAGATTTAAATAATATAAAAATATTAGATTAATAGTATGAATTCTGATGCTTCTTATCGCGAAATTTTGTCAATTATTTGGGTAGTTAATCTTTCTTAAAACCTTGTATTAATATTTTTCTCAGCATTTTGTTGTCATACGCCTACAATCTTAATTATTTCCGGATAGTTAAAAATCAAATTATACGTGCATACGAAACAACAAACAGAATCATAATTGAAGGTAATGGAAAGGAGACAGTATAGCAGTTAGATGGAATTTGAGGTCAACTGACTTGGAGAAAAAGTTAATTCTATGCTGTGGCAAAATTCATAAAATTCCATGGCCTCTTATTAACTCCAGTATAAAATCATAAGACAACTACAATCACGCAACATTAACAACAAACCGTCAGGTAACAGACCACAAACTTCGGAAGAATGAAAGTGTAGTTATACGTTACGAAGAGCTCCCATATTTGTATAATTCGAATTTCGGTTCAAATTTAAATGTTCCGTCTCACGTACGGCGATGTGCCAGCCGAGACAGCTGTGAGCTTCAACTTTATGCGTGACTCAGTGAAGCATTAGCCTCTAGTAATGAGGTGCGTCTTGCAGGGTTGAGGCGTTGCGTCGCATAGCGTCGATCTGACAGACAACAGCGCCACTCCACGAGCTGCAACAGGTGCCGCGTAACTTGAGCATCTGACAGAGGGCGCCCCCCAGGTCGTTATCTAGATACGAGCAAATCCCTAACCATGCAGCTTGCAGGCCTCCTGACTGCCCTTTCGTGTTCTTTCACATCGCGAAGGAAAAGACGGATGGGAATAAAATAAATGAATATAAAATTTTTGTCTGAAAACAACGTAAAGACATCTAAATGTGGAATGCAGAGCTATAGAGAAATGGATCTTAGATAAATATATTGTTAGAAATTTTATTGGATTAAGCTGGACAGACCACGGTGGTCTAGCGGTTAAAACGCTGGCCTTGTAATCCTGGGGTCTCGGGTTCGATTCCGTGCCCGAATTTTTAACTTGTGTTGGGCAAGGCCGTGGTCTAGGCAACACGGACTTTTCCTTCGTGGCATCCCAACAATTACTCCATACACACAGAAGAAGGCAATGGCAAACCACTTCTGGATCATCTGCCAAGAACGTATATGAACAGGTCCCAGTCCGAGAAAAGGATGGAAGGATCCTGTTCATATGGACCTGTCGTCAGACAGAACACTAAATAATATAAAAGCTGGACACTGTTTCGAGCTCCTTTAACCGGATATAAATTTTCGGGTTCCACAGACGTTAAGTAAGTTCTTGGCAAGATAAGTGACTATCAGTTTCTCTACTAGCCTTCCAAATTTAAAACAAAAATACGAATCACATTTTTATCTCTTCAATACAGGCCATGCTTACGTTCGTAAATCGTCACTGATTTTCTGATACGTCGTTTATCTTAGGCAAAAATAATGTCCTTTATCAAACACAAAATGTAATAATTTCTGCTCTAACGGCACGGGATCACGTCTAACAGTCACAGAAAATAACAAACCCTTTTTTATATATTTCGTCTATCCATCAAAACTTCCCAACGGTTGAGATATAAACCAAAGTTGGTAAGGCATTTTTCACTCGAAATAAGCCCATGGACACCCACCGGAAGATTACCAGCTGTTTCGTTACACATTCTGTATATTCACATTTAAACTTACGAAAAACAGAACAAAAACCTCCTTTTTCACGTAAGACACCCCCTCAGCCTTAAAACACTTCCAACATGCCTGTAAATTTCTTATTAACCAAATTGATTCTAAACTTCTTCGAGACACCAGGGTATAACAGTACAACATTTTGCGTGTTGTCTGGTTTACTTAACCGTGCTTTGGATAATGTTTCTAAACTGATGGGTATCCAGTTGTGCCACAAGATATGAACAAAATTCTCTCCTACACGTAGACCGAAAAAATATAGTAATAGCGTAATCTTGTACACCCCTGTTCTTTTTAATATCATCTTCCTGTGCTGTCGTCTTTATATTACATTGTTACCGCGAAATCCTGATTTTTTTTTTCTTAAATTATGGAAAGATATGCAATCGTTTGTAATGTCTTCGTAGTAATTTCAGTCACTTCTGTTAACCGCTGCCCGTGAAAGAATTGTCGGTTCTTCATCAATCTGTTTTTTTGTTGGCTTGTAGTTAAGGGTCCGGCATTCCGACCCATAAGTCAGCGTGGTGCATCCTTATATAATTTAAGAAGAAAGTCTCTACTCTAGTGATACCAAGATGGTCGGTAATGGAGATTCGGACAAAAGAATGGTTCCCCGGTGATTTTAAACGGGATTCATGCAATCCAAAGATGGGGGTACCACAGTAAGAAAGGGCGATGGTCTACGAGCTGGATGATGTTCGAACGTCAACAAGGACAGAAGATTTTGTTATCGTCATTACGTCAACATCGGCTTTGACGTTCCCCCAAGAGGGCGCTGGACACTTTCCTCACATTAACAGCAGCTGGAACACCAACTTCGCCGTTCATTTGAATCCGGTGTCGAGTTTAAGAACTTAACGTTGACTCTACCAGATATTCATGCTATTATAACGTTATTTTTAGGTACGGGTATGATGTTTCAACTTTGTAACGACGATGAGGCGTCTCACCTGTCTAAGGCGATCGCCACCAGGTGCAGGATAGAGGCCGTGCAGCACAGCACGTCGCTGGAAGTCCACATGTCGCACAGCTCAGGACCCAGGGTCCACTGCTTGCTGACCTCGTAGACGGCACTGAGAGGCATGACGAGACAGGCCACCAGCAGATCGGCCACGGCCAGAGACAGGATGAGGTAGTTGGCCACGTTCTGCAGGTTGCGTTCAAGTAGGATGGCGGCGATCACGAACACGTTCCCTGCCAAAACAAAGCACTTTCATCTCAACGACTGCTAAACACGAGATATCTCGTTCTCACGTAATATTCTGTCTGCACTCAAACCAAAGAGAACGAGGTAGACAACATAGAGAGCGCGCTGATATCAGTCGGCAAACATGAAAGAAGGAGTCCATTTGGAAAACATATCAGTAGATGGAAGGATAATATTAAAACGGACCTTTAATAACTAGTGTGCGATGGTTTGGACATCATTGAGCTGCTTCAGCATGAGGTTTAATGAAGGGCTGTTAAACACGGTAGTGCTCAGTTAGGTTTCGTAAAAATGTTGGGAATTTACAGACACCTGAAAGACTATCAGCTTTTTGAAAATGTATACTTAATTGAGATACTATATATTGCACGAAATTTAATATTTATCACTAAGTACTCCGTGGAGTACAGTTTTTCCTGACAAACTAACAGTAGACGCTCACCTAATCAAGAATTTTTTTACCTTTATTGGAATTCGAATATTCAATACCGCGTTCACAAAAGCTCAATCTAGATCCTCCCTTAAAACCAGACGAATTTAGTACACACCCTCAAACCGTATACCCACAAGGCCCATTTTAATATCATCTTCCCACCTACTACTAGGTCTACCGACTATTCTGTTTCCTTCAGGTTATTCCACGAAAATTCTGCACGTATTTCTCAGCTCCTCCATGCGCTGTGCATATCATCGTCATTTCATCCACCTTCATCTGATTATCTTAATAGAATTTTGTGAAAATAACAAATTTTGAATCCCCTCATTACAGATTTTTCTACAGCCTCCTATCATTTCATCTCTCTTAGATCCAAATATTCTCCTCAGATACGTGTTCTTAAACCCAATCAATCTGTTTTCTTCCCTCAACGTGAGAGATCAATTTCCACTCTCATACTTTCGTATACAATTCAGAGAAAGAATTCCAAATCTTATGAGACAATATCACAATATCAATGGTTGTGAGTGTTTACTATTTAATATTTTCTCGTCATTAATGACAGACAATTTACTACTAATAAAATGGTGTGAGACGTGAGGATTTTCTACAACCGTAAATAGTGGAACTACCTTCTTCTGACTTGTGACGCCGCGGTCAGAGTAATTATACAAACGGAGACGACAGGTCCCTACGAAACGTCGAAACTCTCGAATACGACTACACGGTCTCAGGATCCAGAAGACCTCAGACGAAAAAGAAAATATGTAATTGGGGACATAAGGTTTGAACTATAAAAGCGAACATAATTTAACGCTCCTAGGGAAAATAAAAACAATTCCCAGTTCTCCACAAAGGTCAAGGAAACACACGGACAGGCAAGTGTGTTGAAAGAGGATAACCGAGCGCTGAGTCGGGCAAACGTAATAAATCAACTGCCTCTACGTCGTTCGACCTTCCAGGCAAGTCGCTCGGTCCTGTCGCCTGGATCTGACAAACACTTTAGATTCGTACACACAGCATCAGCACGCTGGTCCATGACCATTTCAGAGCCGGGACACAAGAAAATATTACAAGGTTTAATTCGATAAACCTGAAGGGAAGAGAGAGTAGTTGGAAGACCCAGGTGTAGATGGAAGGACTAAAGTGGACATTAAATATGTCTAGATTAGGCTGACTCACGTTTGTGTTAGTGGTATAAGAACTTCTTCGACTGACTAAAAACAAATTTAAATGTAAATATTTATTTGTTTCAATGGGGTTTTTGACGGAATTGGTATATCAATTATGGAGCAGGAGTTGCATGAATTTTGCATTTATTTTCCGCTACTTGGTGGGGGGATGAAACCTTGGAAGTAATCTTTAGAAGTATATTATGCAGAACAGAAAAATAATTAAATCTTGGAAATGTTTTCATGCTTTGAGTTGAAAAGTAATTCTAACGTTCCTAGATGGAACTGCACTTTGAAAAAGTACAGATAACACTAACACTAGAATCAATACATTACTGAGCTTTAAACATTTATCTCTTCTATTTTTCTTTCTAAAGAATCCAGCGAATCCAGCGTCCCTTCTGCACCGAACGGAAGAAGGCTCCTTAATCCCGTTCTCAAATTGTAAAATATATTTATTATTTTACAAGGAAAGATTAGGCTTATGGTATTATCGTCTCGCCTGCCTCTTTCCTGAGCACATAACGTACAATGAACACCAATCTATTATAAGCATAACAACATTAATTCCATCATCAATGTCAATATGGCGGCTATGCGAATATTTAGGTGGAAGTAAGACCACTTAAAAGGGGATACAAAATTAAATCTTGGTACTCATTAAGGAAGAATGACGTAAGTATAGTGTATTGACTTATGTATTTCTTAGCCGGAATTAAAATTATGATAATATATTAACTAATATTCACTTTCTCTCAAGTTAATGTTTTGTAGAGTGTAAAATTGTACGTGACATTTATATTAACTCCTTGTCTGACGATTGTAACTAATGAACCACTGGAGTTAAACACGTGAAAATTAGAAGGGTCTTAGTTCATAAATGTTCGTATAAGTTTAAAATGCAAAATGATTTTCTATTTTAAAAATTATGAATATAGTATATATAGATATATATATATATATATAGTAATAATTAAAATACATACGATGACAAATGAAAGTTATGCAGAGATCGAATTTCTAAACTTCATACGTATTTATTAAAAATTCTTGATCTCATCGCATTTACTGATGAATTTAAAAAAAAAACTGGCTTCTTTAAGTTCTTTATATAACTAAATTTTCTCTTAAATACATAATTATAAAACAGTTTTTATTATAATTAAATTTTCATACAAAGAAGAGTAGAATAAACATAATTAAGACAAACGTGAGCAGACACACAAACAGTGATAATATAAGCCTAATACTCCCCTTTAAAAAGTTAAAGTACGATATAATGTATTGATGAACCTTGATAGTGAACGCAGAAGGCAACACTAGACTACAGAGTTTCCAGTTACGCCTTCAAAGAGCACATATCTCAAGTAATTATGTACCCTGGGAGACATTTACTGTCATATGAGACAGTTTCTTTACATCTTGGACTGCGAACTCGGCACAAACTTAACGTTAAGCCACTTTCAGTTCTGTCTTTATGACTGAAGCAACATTACTTGAATCTACTCCGCCAGTTACAGATCTTCAGCATTGAACCCCGTCCAGGAGAGACGGGTGTTCCACTACCACCACCCTTGAACCCTGTCCCACTTGTGTTCATCTGCCTTCCGCGGTGTTACAGCTCTTGTGAACACAGTAATGAATCCTCATGTCTCATAAAAGGTAGTTAGTTTCTTTACCAGGTGAGAAACTATAAGCTTCTCAAGAAGGATTCTGCTGTATAGTTGTAAAGTGATGTATTGCGTATAAAATCTTGACTCACGGGGGTCTGATGGATGACAAGGGACATTAATAATAACAGGATTATAACTGCTATCCTGGATGAATGTGAGTTCCTCCAATTAAACTCCGCTGGCTTCCGCCTATGAGACAGGTACAAGCTATTGTACTCCACGAACTTGTATTGTTATGGCAAGATTCATTTACGAACTCAATCCATATGGCAGGATACCGTCTTCGATAAAGTCTACCTTACACTGACGTTTTCTATCAAATAAGATTTAGGGTGCCATTTTGAATGAAAATGATATGCGTTGTTTTGTTCCACTAATTACCTGAGCTTAGTACGTTTGCATGTATAATTAATTGAAGTTTAAATTAATCTTCCTCATGAAATCTGCCTACACTGGTTGACGTAGTAAGGCTGTGACAGAGACAACCACTGTAATTCCTATTACTGTACAAAACTCCACGTGGTGTTGAAAGAAAGAGTCTCATTAAAAACCGTGGCGATGTAAGCGATAATTGCTGAGCTAGTCACGAACTCCCTCGTCTTCTGCAGAATCTGAAAGTCTATTATCGTCTTCATAACACCCGGCCACTGGACGCTGTCCTCATCAATATGAAGCCATTCCTCACCTTAACACACTAACAAACTCCGCAGACAAGAATCCTTCTTGAGAAGCTGATAGTACGCTGAGCTAATCGAGAATTTCTCAACTATTATGGAAGGTCCATTACTATTTTCACAAAAGTCCACTGGTCATTCGTCTTTATCCTGAGCCAGATTAATTCAATCCAAACCCTCAACGCTGTTCCCCTAAGTCAATTTAATATTATTCTCCCACAAATGCGAAGATCATTACAATAATTTCATTCATCCAAACACTCCAACGAATATTTTTTTAAACACGCCTCATCTTACGCACGCGCGCAACATGCCCAACCCATCTATCCTTCATTTTATCATACTACTAACAGATCAGAATAAATTATAAAACTCCTCATTATGCAATTTTCTTCCAGTCTCTTCACACTGTATCCTCTTAGGTCCAAATATTCTGAACACCCTGTTTTCAAACACCCCCAGCCTGTATGGAACTTCATTCGGTCCCCTGTTAATTCGGCTCTCTCAAATTAAAATACTTTCTAATCACCCTGAACAAGCAGGAGATATTTTATTCCGAAACGCTGATAATCACCTGCAAAGCTGCACGAAATTTACAATCTAACAGACAAAATCCAAATGTCCACGCCTGTGAGGTCCTAAAATCTCATGAAGAGGAATTTTACGTCTCGTAAAAGGTATGAAACAGGAGTTGATTAATAAACAATACGAAATTAATACAACGTTAAAATACATGGAAACGAAGTAAGGAGTGAAAATTCCATTCAGTTCAGTTCAGAATATCTTATCTTCCTTTGTGAAAAATAAAAATTGCAATTCAAATATTGCTGTTTTATGTCAATGTCTCTCACCCTAATGTAAAAGATTTGCAAAAACAAGGTTCTATGAGCTCCCTAATTCTCAGTATTCCCTAATATTATTAAATAATCAAATCAAGGAAAATTACAAGCATAGTTTATGTAATGATCGCGGGAAGACGATAAGTGAATTCAAAACAGAAATTAGCAACACTGAAAGGTAGACTACCAGGGA